CGGCTTCACCCCCCCCCCCCCCCAAAAAAACGATCCTTCACACACGATTTTCGCCGCGACTGAGAATAGGTGTCGCATCTGTACCATGGAAAGCATCAACCAACTCACCTTTGAACTGAAAATTCGTTACTTCATGGAATGTAAAATTGAGCTCTAAAATCAGATTCATTGACAGGAAAAAAAACATGCTGATAGTTGTTATTTTCAAAACAGGGGTTCAATTTCCACAATACAGCAGTTTCAAGTAACAATATAATCTTTAGAAAAAACCTATTGCCTCTTGAATTTTTATGGCAAGAACAGCTGAACAAAATGCAGGTGAATTTTGGATATTCCTATTCCTGAGTCAGGCTGCTTGCCAGTTATCAATCAAATTGTTTCTGATATTTCGACTGCGTGTGATTTCTGTGAATTACATTAATTATGGGGAAAAGTTAAATACCTTTATCCAGTTATCTTTTTTTGGGATTTTCCAATGAAATCCGTGGCTGAACCTCATCAGTTGAAAGATGTGTTTTGTATGTAGAATCAATTCTTTTCTATCATCTTTTGTAAACCTCAATCACGGCATCTGTTCTCTTTACCGCAGGAAGCATCAACTCAACATTAGAAAAATTAAATTTTTTACATGGAGGATGAAAGATTAAGTTCAAATATCACATTGATTGGAAAAAATTAAACCTATTGGGTGATAAAAGCATGGAAATATATCTCTGGCACAAATTTTCATTTGAAGATGGAACTTGGTGGGATCCCATTATTGGGTGTTTTCTATAGGTACCTCATTTGCTTTTTTCAACCCTTTGACAGGGCAGCCTCATTTCCATCCCTGGGCAAAGTTGGACTTTTCTTCAGTTGGGCATGCATTTAAATGTTACACAAGAAGGTTATGTAACCCATGCCAGGTGGGGAAGGGCAAAGCTGGGTTTTATTCAGGGATAAAGAAATGCCAGGAAAGCCTCAAGTGGGACTTTTTTGGTAGTTACCTGTAGCCTGGGCCAAAAAGTTTCACTGGGATAGATCTTGTCAGAGAAGTGTTGACCAGTCCAAGAATCCTTGAAGTATTTTGTTGCTGGAATTCAGAGAAAGACTCTAATTTAGACCTGGCTAGCTCCTCTAAAGTTGCAATACGTTTTCTTTTTTTTTAATGCAATTGAACCAAAGTTGATCGAATGGCTCCCCTAGAATAGGTAAGGCTATTTCTGACAAGATGAGCAGGACTTCAACTAAATGAAAGGGACTTTTAGTATTGTTGTCTTACACCAGTGGTTTTACAATTCTCAGGCTAAAACCCCTGAGTGTTATAAACCTTTAAGAGGATAACCCTGGAGGCATAGACTCTGTTTACTCTAGTTTGCTCCCTTTTTACTGGGCGTGTCCCAAACCAGGTACATCAAGTACATTAATACTTTAATTAAAAGTGAAATACAAGTAATGTTTCTTTACAAGTATTTTATTATGGACCCACACATGCGTAATTCAACAATGCTCCTATATGGACTCTCCTCCTTTTCAGAGGGATTCATCCACTGGAGAAATTACAATCTGGCAAGGGCTTTTATCAACTCTGGCAACCAGACACAGTGAGGTCAATGCTCAGACATTAAACTCAAGCCAAACAGAAGAAAGAAAGGACAGAAAGTATTCCACAACAGAGTTTCACTAAAGTTAATTATATGGCAGTGGACCTCCAGGGGGATATCATTAATCAAGCAGTGGGGGCAGATAAAAAGTTGCGCAAGCATACACAGCAATCCCGCATTAATAAGCGGGGCAAGGGGCAAATAAGTAGAGCAATTCAGCTCAGCTGATAACAGTACTGTATAGTGTGAATTGATATTCTGCTGAAATGCATGAAATAAAAATCCCATTAATTGTGCAAATTCAAATTTTCAATTTTTAACCAGCTGCAAAGTCCATGATGTGGATTTAGTCCATTGTGCAGGAAGGAAAAACCGCCTCCAATGGCACTTTTTGTCTGTCTGTTGGACATAAATTTGTTGTGTGGAGGTCAACTGAGGTATGAAACGTCCAAGTTCCAATACAAGAGAATTATTTCAAAATTACCTGGTATGATTCAGCACTCCAAGAAGAGTCTTCAAAAATTGAGTTTAAAATAATGCTAATTTGAGGGCTCAATTTATTTCATCTGCCTGATGTGATGCAGTATTTCCTTTTTTCACTTGGCACTGGAACAGAAATTTTACTTCTCAAACATCTGAAATTCTGCATATTATCAGCAGAATTTTTTTTTTCTAACTTTCAAAATACAGTGAGACCTCAAGATGTGGATGTGATTGGTGCATCAAGAGTGTCCCTGGATTGAAAAGTCTTTAAGTTGAGCCTCATTTTCCCTATGACTTACATGGTGTAATTTTTAATTTGTGTTTTAATGACAGAATACTCATAATTCCATGAAAAAAATTTGTCTCCCAATTGAAACTAATTCAATCAATATCTTTCAACAGGATATAGACATTTGGAGCCTTGAATACTGATACTGTATACCTCTGTATCCGTAAAAATAACAATCAAGTGAAAAAAGAGAAGGAAGTCCATCAATGCTGGGGGTCATTCTCTCTTCTTTTTGAATTATTGCAGTTTTCAGTCAATAAAATGGGGCTTGTGCATAACTTTGGGATGGGATTCAATCAAAATTTTAGGCTGAAAATTCAAGGAGCACCTTTTACTTGAATACATGTCATTTAGTAAACGAGTACTGCATTCACAGGTTGTCATGACTGATGACCCACTAATGCATTCTAAATTTGCAGTGTTTTAGTAAAATCAGAATCTGTTTTCAAACCAGACTTGCGTTTTGCAATAAAATGCGATACTTGGAAAAACATGACCTGTTCTTTTTTTTTTTGTCCCAGCACTCATCCACAAAAGCATAGGCACTCAAAAATCGCAGCATTTTTTTTCTCACAAAAATGAAACAAAACTTCACTTCCAAACTGCCCACATCAATGAGACAGTGGGAAAGAAATACCAAGAAACTGATCATCAAAAAAAAAAAGCTACAAAATACACCATCATCTCAATAATGCAGAAAATATTTTCCCTTTGAAATCTTCACTCAACCCGGTCCTTCAAGTTTCTGATTTTAAAAATGGGCTTCATTCTTGTTTCAAATTCCTTGAAAACATGGGGATAACATTCCTTCACAAACTTGGCCAAATGAAGAGAGTCAGCAACTTCCAAGTACAAATCCACCTCTTGTTTTGACAGCGTAGCCTGAAGATAATGAAAATGAATAAATTATTTTTTATAATATATACATGCCAAGAAAAGATTTTGGCAAAAATGATTTCGCCATAAATTAATACATAATTACTCAAACAACCAAAAATTTTCCATTTGGACAAAGGACATTGCTTTTGATCATAAAGCTTCAGACACATTTCCTTTTTCCTCCTAAAAAGTGAAAATTTTCTTCAGAAATTTAAATACACTATGATATTGATAATGAAATATTCACTTGAATATTTTTGAGCAAAAACACATTTCAGAACTTTGCTTCCCTTGTTTTTAGTGCGTTGTTTTTCAATTTTATGCTCAATATAATTTCACAATGTAAGTTATACTATTGTAATTTATTGAATCAAGCCAAAATAAAATCCTGAAACAAATGAGTAAATCCACAACTTGGTTGATTATAAAAACGATTTGGTTAAAGGACTTCCATTAACCGACGAATAAAAATTTTTTTTTTATAAAAATGGGCAACAAAACAAAATCATGAAAATACTGTATATACAGTCATCTATTCACCGGAAATAAGACAGAAGGTCGTTCTTTTGATTTCAACTCCGACAAGAAATCTTCAACTGATTTGCTTTCTGCCACTGGCTCAGCTTCACACGATTTCTTCTTTTTATTTTTCTTGTCTGCAGGAATTTCGTCGGAACCCTGAAAAGAAAACGAAATCTGAATAAAAGTTGTCATATATTGTAACCCTTTTTTTCTCTCGAAGAACTGTGCAAAAAATCTCGCACAGAAAAAAGATTACGAATAGGTTGCATTGATTCACAAAATACGGACCATAATTCATAAATTGGTTTGGGATTTTTCGCAGATTTTCACTGATATTATGCCGGAAAGGAAATTTTCTATGGAGTCCGAATCAATTACAAGAAAGCTTGTAATTCGAAATTTTGAGATCATCACTGGATGTGAGAAACATCACATTCAAAATATGTGAACAACAAAGTAAGGTGGACTCATTCAACACAAATTTTTTCGTTTTTTTTTTGCAATATACTGAACTTATTTTATTTTTTCCTCCTCATGTTATAGGTGTTCTCCACAATGAAATTCTCTCTGCAACAAGTTCCATTTTCAAATATTTTTTCCAATTTTAATCAATGCCAGATACCATAAATATCCAACAGCAACAACTTGCCAAAAGGCAACAACTGAAGCACATTTATTTTTAAAATTTTTGCAATGCTTCCTTCTACCAACATCAGATCAGACAAGGCAAGAAAAACGTTTTCAACTCAATTTTTATTGCAATTACTGGCAAGGTTTACACAAGAAGGTAAATATTTTCTCTATTTATTTCTGGAGTTGTCCATAGGGCTTCAGACATAGTTGAATCTTTTTCATTCAATTAACAAATTGCAAATATTTGCACCAACATTTTCATAAGGCAACATTTTATGTGCAAGCGTATCATCATGATTTTTTAAATATAATACTTGAACTGCACAAATCAACTTGAATTGGCAGAATCAACTATTCATGACTTGCTACATGAGTTAGGCATTGATTGAACATAAATTCAAATTTATGAAGGAATTATTTAAGTAACCAGGGTACTTTTCAAACTGAGTTTCACCGGACACAGGACCTGGTCAGTCTGGAAATCAATGAATGGGGAGAAATTGTGTTTCTGGACACAGAAAATATAATTACAGTGAGACCCCCACATTTGTACACCTCAACATCAGGACAATTTGACATAGGGACATTTATTTTCCTATAAAAAAGCATAGAAAAGCCTAACATACAGACACTGACTCAAGATGCAGACATTGCATGATAAAATTGCCAATAAATTTCAGGAAAATTGACTTTTATCAGGCTTAATTGCAAGAAGGAGATATTTCAAACCCTTACACGTTAGATCTATGCAAGACCAATTCATTGGTATTTCTCCCATCATTTTCCCATCCATTCAGCAAATTAAAAAATTACCTATAGCATAGAGGGACTTTCTTCTCTCTTTGTGACTTGAATGTTATTTTTACAGATGCCAACATTTCAATGCAATGTACAAAGGTAGACTATTTGATGCTCCAAATGTTCTTATTGAGTTGAAAAGATATTCACTGAATCAAATTCAAGTGGCAAACATTTTTTTCATGAAATTTGGAAAAATATTCCTTCTATAAAACACCAATTAAAAATTATACAATGTAAGGGAAAACAAGACTTGACTTTGGGACATTTTGACTCGGGACATTCTTCATGCACCAATTATGACTGCATCTGGGGGTCTCAATGTATTCAAATACCCTAATACTTTCCCTAACCAAATTTAACAGGACACATCCCCTGGTTGACCTTAAAATAAAAATAAGGAAAAACTATGTTTCTGGCCTCAAAAATACACTTGATCGAGTACACAGAGTAGTTTTCTAACCAAATTTCACAGAAAATTTTACCTGCTGGTAGACATTGAAATCAAAAATGAGGAGAAAATATGTGTTCTGGCCTCGTAAATGGAATTTTTTTAGCACCTGGAGTAATTTGTCAACTGAATTTCACAATAAACATCACCTGGTTGACCTTGACATGAAACTAAGTTTCTGGCCTAGAAAATAGAATCACTGAAGTATGCATTGAAATTTTCCAACTAAATTTCACACGACATTTTCTACTCGGTTGATGTGTTGAAACTGAAAAAAATGAGGAGAAAAATACGCTGCTTCACGCATCGATAAAACGTAAAATCATTCCAGCAGTTTCCTCTCCTCGGAATAGAGTGTGCAAATCCACCACTCACACTCTCAAACTTCCGCTTATTCCCCGTCCTTATTCCGGCTGCTTCCCACTTGTTCCGGTCGCTCTCGTAATCCCGCCTCGGCGATGCGCAAACCCTCACCAGCATCCTCAACTCGCTCAACACCACCGACGACGCCGACTCGTTGTACAATTGAAACACAATCATTCGCTCCCGTTTCTTGGACTCGGAGGCCAGGCAGGAATTCCGACACGTCAGCTTCATGGTGAATCGGGTGCAGGTGGAACCCGGCTCGGGTATGGCCAACTTTTGCTTCACGAACCTCCTCGTCGACGTCGCCATGGATCCACTTCCTCCTCGACCTTCGCAAACGTACTCGGCGTCTCGACTCGGGAATTGCAAAATGTGCGACGACGACGGCGAGTAGTTACCTGGAATTGTCAATTTTCATTTAAAAAAAAAAAAGAAAGAGAGAGAGAGAGAGAGAAAATTAGGTATACAGTATTGCACATTTAAATCCCGTTACAACGAAGCCAACGCTCAAAAGCTTCTTTATAACGAAATATTATTCTTGAAGGAACTATTTTAACATTGTCAAAATTGCACAGGGACTGAAAAAAAACCACTTCGTTATAATCGATGATTCGTTTCAAGTACGTATTTCGTTGTAATGAGAATTTACTGTATTTCATTTTGCAATTGAACTTCGATTTCCACGTCGAATTTTTTTCAAAGTCCTTGTCAAACTTAATTATGAAAAATATATTTAAAAAACCCATCAACTCAAGGGCTTTCCGTACCCAAATTTTAAAACTCAAATTTTCGAGAGACCTTCTGCAAATTATTCCCTTGACACAGGAAACAGAAACGCAATAAAAAATGTAACTTGGTGCGTTTTCAAAAAAAACAATTTGAATCCTAGAATATCACCAATTAAAATTTCGTCCAATTTTTCTTTTCCGTCAAAAACATAAAAATCCTCACTTCCACAACTCGAATTTTTTTTTCAAGAGGTTATTCGAGTGAATTTGAAAAATTGGCGTTTTTGAGACTGGCTTTTTTTTATATAAAGAGATTACATGAAGTACCTGATTTTTGTTGAGAGCAGTTGACGCACATGGGAACAAAGGCGTTTTCGTCGTCGGCAAAAACGAGTTTAGCACACAAAACGTACGAGTTTTCAGCGTCCGGAACGCTGACCTTCATGGGTACCACGGAATTCCAATCCGTGTACAACTGATTCTTCTCCGCAAACCACCGGTACTGAAATAAAAAAATGAATTCTCAATTTACAAGCACTGCAGTTCAAAAATGTGGCACAGATTTCAAATGATGAAAATTCACTTCCTCAGACTACCCTCTTACACAAACTATTGAATAAAAAAAAAGTATTTGACAAACTCACAGTGCTTTGTTTGGTGTCCAATTCAGGAGAGTCCACTTGAACATCAAAGAGCTGTGCTGGGTTCTGCTCTGGCACCTCTGTCTAAAATGGAACAAATTTTACATCAGGAAAAATTTGCACAAGATAAGAGCCCAACAACACCATCCTCAGCTGACTGATCTTGTAAAATGCCCCCCTCTGTCATACCAAATGAAAGAAGAAAGTGTACCATTTCCCTTTCGCTTGTCTAGGTGTCGCACCCCAGAAACAATTCAATCCATCAATATGAAAAATTGTGAGAGACCAGAACATTTGTATGAGAGAATTTTGTTCTAGAAAACCCCTATAACAAGCAAGAAAACAGTATGAGACTGTATCTTCCAAAATATTGAACACAAAAAATTTTGGCAGAAAAATCTGCACAAATTTCAATTTGTAATTTGGTGATATTTTCACCCTTCTCAAAAATCAAAAGTTATGCATAGTTTTACATCTTCCTGTCATTACACTGTGAGAAAGTTTGGAACAAGAGTTGTCAGGATCAATTCAACTTCATGCTAAACCATAATTTTCTGCTGAAAAATGTAAAAACATTGTGTGGTTCATCACCACTTTTTTTTTGGAGATTCTGGAACCAGTTGAATAAATTACACTGTATTTTGCTGCAAATCTTGAAAAGGAAAACTCATTTCACAAAACAAGTATTCAAATTGAAAACAAAAACAAAACTCATCCACAAACAGATAAGTTTGGAACAGGGAACACATTTTACAATAAAGTTATTTTTAATTTGTTGAAAAATTAAGATGAAGCAATAAATTGGCAGGGTTCCTTCTTCAAAAATAATTCTAGCAATTGATCTTTGCATTTTCGCGTTTTTTGTCTGTGTGTTATTTGCAGTTTAAAATGCATAAAATACTGTTTTAATTTTGACATTCACTTTGGGGAAAATTGGCGCACATGATTTTCTTCTCCTCAATCACTACATTATTATTATCATTATTTTCCCCGACAAAATTCAATTCATTCATCACAAAATGGAACACAGCAAAAAAAAAAAAATAAAATAAACCATCTCACCTTGATGAAATGAGGAACCCCTGCCAGACTCGAACCAGAAGCCTCGCCAAACAGTTGCACCCCATTATTCTCACTCATACCCCCCGAACCCCCAACACCACTTTCCGCGCCAAAAACTGCATCATCACTCATCCTCCCCACATCATTCCCCAATAATCCAGGCGACAAATACGTTTCACTGTGCAGAGGAACCGGAAATTGGGATCCTGTCAAAACCGTCATGACGTCCCTGGCTTCCGGCATCATCACAGGCGCATTCACCAGTTGATGCAAATGTGTGGCCTCATTATTCAAATTTCCGTGTGTTGATGATTCCTGCTGGGGAGTGGGGTTGAATAATGCCGGGGAAGCAGCATCTTGAACAGGATTCAGAATCGCCGGGTAGTTTTGCTGTAAAGAAGGTGCAGGAAGAAGCGGGATTTCTTGCAAATTTTGTTGGAGTAGTTGTTGTTGTTGTTGTCTCATGCTGGCTGTTCTTCTCATCTGCAAAAATGAAAAATAGTAGTGCCTTATAAAATGAACATACCGGCATTCACATGCACCTTTATCTCAAAAAGCATTGTTATCCAGGAAATATTTGAGTTTGTTCTGAGGACCTCTCTTTTTAAATTACACTTTGCCTCAAGGAAGTGCACAAGGTTTTTTCCCCAGCAGCTTTTTTGTTGTTTTGAATTTCCTCTTCTCACATCACCCCATGTTAACAGCATGACTCATTTTCTTTTGTTAGTTTGAAAAACATATAAAACTCCCCCTCACTGCTGGCAGTGATGGTTACCTTTCACACAGCCTTGCCTCTGAAATTTGCATTGCAGAGGAAAATATCTTACAGGTGTATTGTGCATATATATATATATATATATACAGTGGCCCCCCCGCCTAACAGACCTCCCGTGTAAGGGATTTTCACCAAACATACCAGCTCTGCAAGCAGTTTTTCCTCCTGCCCAACAGACAAAATATTTTATGTAATTGAATTTGTGTAAAGGACTTTTTGTCTAACAGACTTGCCCCTTGCACGAATCAAGTCCGTTAGATGGGGGTTGACTGTATATATTTTGTATTATTGTGTTGTGCCTCTGAAATTCTCTTCATGAGGTCCGCACACTCCTGAATAAGGAAAGTGTATGAAAAATACCTCCTGCATCCTAGATACCTGAGAAGGTATACATATTACTGAGGAATCATATATTCCTCAGATTTAATGCTCTGTTAACTGCAGTTACTTCTCAGAGAGACTTGTGCTGGGCATGCACGCCTGGTACAATAACGTACATTCTCAGAAGCAAAGATATTCCCTCCCCCTCAAAATTGCAGTGCCAGGAACATCCTGGCACCTCAGCAAACCTCTGACTGTAAAGTAAAACCTTGTGAAGGTTAATTAATATCTGTTATATATAAGGAGCGCATTTCTTAAGATCATCAGATCAGTTTAATCAGCTGTGTTATTCCCAACTTATTCATTTACTCCTGCAAGTCGCAAGTCAAACTTGTTGAGTTGTTGATCAGTTGTGTGTTTATTTGAAATATATTTAATCCCTTTAAACTAGGAATTCTAAAACAAAATCAAAGTCCTTTCCCAGACTAAATAATGCATTTTTATTCTATCTTGAAAAGCACTTGACATCAAATTATACTGAGGCCTTTTGTGCCCAATATCTTGTGTATGTTTAGTAAGACTCTCTTTCAAACTTGTCTATTCCAATTGTTGTTTGACCAACAATTGACTGTGAATAAATATTATATTTTGTATATTGAGAAATTGTTTTATTTAGTCCAGACAACTGTGTTTTAAAAATGTGTGAACAGATCTTAGTTAAATGATGGATAAGATATAAATTTCTCTAGACATCTCCCTAGTCTTTACTCTTGAATACTCACTGTTGTATGGTATTCTTAATCTAGATCTGACAATTTCAATAACAAGGAGATTTCTATTCCTTATTGTCAGGCTGATTCAAATGAAGACTCCTCAAGAATTCTCATACAAAAACAGCAAAGGTTATTACCATATTCAACAAGTATGGGCAACAACTCTCAACATAAGTCAACCAACAAGTAGGAAAAGACACAATGAGCACAAGAATGTACAGAGGCAGATGCCTTTATAGACTTTGCAGCCAGAGATTGGGCAAAGGAAACATGCAACTGCCTCATGGGTTGTCTGCTAGCAAGAAGGGAATAACAGAAAGTATTTGATGACAAAAGGTCAGTGTGCAATACAGTCAACACCTGCACAATGGACTTGATTTGTGCTACAGACTAGTCATCTGCTGTGTAAAAAAGTCTGTTCTGTGAATTCAATTATTTAGAAAATGAAAATTTTCACTTTTTACCATCAATTTTGAACCAAAAGAAGTCTGTTTTGCAGATTTAGTCCATTGAGTGGGAGGTTAAGTCAATGCTCAGAGGCGGTCTGTTGTGTGGGAATTTTGTTGTGCAGGAGTTGACTGTACAGTATTTTCTTTTCAAAAGTCTTGATTGCAGGTTTAAAATACCGTATCTAAGGAGGGGGATTAAAGCATGATCAAAGCAAAACCCATCTTCATTACATGTTTCTTCTCAAAAAACTTCTGACATCACTGCTTGTCGCAATAAAATACGAAGGTTTTTCCTGTTTGACACAACCTTTGACATTTCCAGACTAGGTGTGATTGTAAAAAAAAAAACATGACATATAGCCCACAGTATTCTCACCTCCAGATATTTTTTTTTTATTTTTCAATGATGTTCAGTTTACTGCATGATGATGAGTGTAAACTTTCAGGAACATCCAGAGATTTAAAAATTTGTTGGGCTAGTTCAAGAATGAATTTTCTGGTAGTTTCTACCAATTACAGTATATAACATGTGGAAAGGAAAATGGGTAAAAACATCAAGCAATTTTAGAAACTTCGATTCGTCCTTTTGCAAATGACATCTTTTTCAAACTTTTAGCAGATGTCGCTCTCATGGGCATTAGTCAACTTCATTGCACAGAGTGAGTGAGTTGGCCATCAGTGTCGCCCTCTGACACCCTGATCCGGCAAATTTTCAAACTCATCTTTTAAAAAACTAAAGCACGATACACTTGGAAGAATAACATCTTTTCTCATCATAATTTCACTACTTGGTGTCAAAAGTCGCTACTTTTCCAGCCGCCAAATTTTTCATTGATTTATTCGCACGACAAAAACTACGTTATAAATTTGTTCGTTTTTTTTCAACAGGTGCAAAAATATGTGCCAAACTTCATCGCGCGTGTGCAGAATAAAAAAAAAAGCGTTTTCGGCACTGGATTATCACGCGTAATTGTACAAAAAAGAAAAAACCCCGAGATTATCCTCAGCAAGCATAACCTCGAAGCAGATAACAAATTCCGATAAAACTCAAGATAAATAATATTAATATATTACGAGATATTTTTCGACAAGAAAAATACTGTATAGTGTTGAATGAAAACCAAAACTCAAGGCATATTTTTCTTGTTGCGTAATTTCTTCTTATTTTCATCACAGAGATTTTCCGGGAAAATCATCAGCCAACGCATTCAGCCAAAGATGTAAAAATAGATTCGCACTTTATTTGCAGAATATTCGCAGAATAATTTTGAAAAAAAAAAAACTAGTACCTGTGAATATTATTGAGCAAACCTTCCCTTGATTTTTGAATTTCCATTTGATTTGAGGTAATTCCTTTCAAGACCAACACATTTCAAGCCCACCTTAAATCTAAACATTTTGAATGAAACCCAAATTTTCAAGATTGTGAAATAAATTTTGCATTAATCCTGCTCCAGAAAACTATGAAAACCGCAAATAAGTAAAAAAGCCTTCTTGTCCTAGTTGAAATGTCTTTTGAGAAAATCATTACAAAAAATACTGAATTCCATCAGGATCTTGCCAAAATAAAAAACTTTTCTCAGTTCAAAGCTACTCAAAAATTTTTCCAATTCAACGAATGATCATGAGATACTGTATTAAAAAAAACACTCACATTGCGGCGAACCACAGGAGCATAAGCAGCCATCGGCATTTTCAAAATTTTACCCATTTCAATTTTTATAGTCATGGACTTTACTTTTTTTTCAATTCGTCACTCTTTCTGAAAAAAAAGAGACGAAGTCAGCTTGCCACTGAAATTCATTTTTCACACGTGTGAAATCCGCGACCTCTGAGATAATTTTTTTTTTTTTTTTTTTCAAGGGAACTGCGATGACAATTTATTTTTTCACCAATCTTCATTATGGCCTATAATTGCAGCATTCTTACAAATTATAGTAAAATCTCCTTACAAGGAATTGGGATCGGCGAAAAAAGCTTCGTTATAACGATAAATTCCTTGTGAATCGATTTGGATCTCTGCCCGAAAAACGGCTTCGTTGTATAACCATTAATTCGTTGTAACGAAATTCTGCAGAATTTCCAAAAATTTGCTGTTAAATGCTCAGTTTTATATTTTTTTTCTTTTGAAAAAAAGGGCGAGAAAATTTCCATTTCTTCTGCTTTATTTTTATTCACAGGTCACGAAGACGCAGTTCTCTGATGTATCATCAGAATTATTATTTGCACGCAAAAAACATTTAAACGCATTCAAAATTTATCGCGTTTCTCTTCTCCGAACTTCTGCGGAGAGAAAAAGAAACATTTTACCGGTGACATTTGATTCACTTCACTGGAAGGCGTCAAAGAATTTTAACGTCGAATCAATAATATTGATAATGAAAAACAAAATATACGCAGAAGTGCGTGAATCATATAAAAAATTTGCAATAATCATAATTCCTCGAAGCAGAGGAAAGAATGCGACAGACATGAAACTTCTTCTGATGTTTTCCGAGAAATTTTTTTCTTTCGAGCCAAACGAAATTTCACCAGCGACATCTACCCAGAGAAAAACGAACCTCGAATTAAAAAAAATGAAAAATCGGGGAAAAATCCCAAATCGACACGAGAAATTCATATTGTGATTTCAAGTTTGCACAACGAACTAAAATTCATTGAAAATTTTACAAGGAGATTTTTTTTTAAATACCGCTTCAAATTGCGAATTAAATTTTTTTTCTCTTGATAATCCGCTACAAACAGGTGATTGAGGAACACACACGAATTCGATTGGATATCACAGTGACGGGGCCCCGACATATGGACGACTCGACTTGAGGACACTTAACCCAACAACGAAAAAGAATTACCCCAGAAAGAATCTAGAGTTCTGGACAATGCCTCAGGATACAGACAATTGACGATAAATGAGAAAATTTCATTTTTCCTTATTTTAATGTCTCCAACAAATTTGAGTTTTTTTGTAATGACAGAAATATGAGAAATTAAAAATGAATTTCATTACAAATACTGTACATTCATTTTACATAATCCAAAACTGGCTAATTTCGTGATTCTTTTTTTCATAGTTTTTCCATCAA